CTATCTATCTATCTATCTATCTATCTATCTATCTATCTATCTATCTAGTGTGAGCGGCAGGGAGGGGCACAGGGAGAGGAAAAGAATTCCAAGCAGTCTTCGGGCTGAGCACGGAGCCTGACTCGGGGCTTGATCTCACCACCCTGAGATCATGACCTGAGCCGAAATCAAGAGTCAGACAACCAACTGAGCCACCCAGGCACCCCCAGCAGGGATTTTTTTTTTTTTTTTAAGATTTTGTTTAGTTGACAGAGAGGGCACAGCGGGGGGAGCAGCAGAGGGAGAGGGAGAAGCAGACCCCCCCCACCCCGCCGGCTGAGCAGGGAGCCTGATGAGGGACTCGATCCCAGGACCCTGGGATCATGACCTGAGCCGAAGGCAGATGCTTAACGGACTGAGCCACCCAGGTGCCACCCTCTGTCCCCCCGCCTCAGCAGGGATATCTTTAAGAGATCTAAAAAAAAGTTTCTTTGGGTATCTGGATATAATGGGAAATTAATAAAATACTACTTTATGATATTTAGAATTGGCAAAGGTTTCATCAAAGCAAGTTGTTGTACCTAGGTTAAGTATTGACGTCACTGCTTACTCTTTCATTTGCTCTTTGGTTGTCATTCTAATTATACTTCGTGTTCAACACTCACTTCTTGCCAGCTTATCATTTTACCTATTCTTTGATTAAAATATTTTTAGTAGTGCTTAGTTAACAGATTTTTAGATTAAAAAATCATTTCTGTGAATATTTCTCATAGTAAACAATGTAAATATATATTTCTATTATAGGTATTTACCAAAAAATGCTACTCAATTGCAGAGATCACTTGGTATGATCAATGATGTACTCAGTTACCTCTCATCAGTATAGTGTTAACTAATTTTTTAACATTAGCTTCTTATATTGTAAAAATGAAAGAGATGTCCTGTAAGAATTTATATAAAATCATTCCTTAAGATTTTTAGGATTTCATAATTTAAAAAATTAGTAATTTTTATATTTTGTGTGGTCCTTAAACATATAAACCATTCTACTAGTTGGATTACCGCTATTCCTCTGGGTAGTGATGTTCGTGGATATCCCTATGATTTATATGTACAATTTGTAAAAACACATCAGAGTAGCTTTAGAGTCATTGTCTAGTTATTTCAGTTATCTAAAACCATTGGATTAAAACAATCTAAAGAATATTCACCCCAGTTTATTGGAATGTATCTATACACCCCTGTTCTCTATTTTGTTGTTGTTCTGTCTTTAAGGGAAGATGATCCTTATAGATCAAATAGTAGATTTTTAAATAATTTAACAGGTTAAGGTAAGCTGCTTTCCCTACTCCTATTTTGTTGTTGTAGTCACTTATCTTTATGCATGGCTTCTTTTGCTTCGGGTTTCTGCTCAAATGTCACCTCATCAGAGAAGCCTGCTGTCACCTGCTTGTAGAAAATAGAAAGCACTCTCACTCTGTGTTGGCACTGCTGCCTGCTCTCAGAGTACTGAGGACTATCAGAGAGTGCGGGGTGGGGTTATTTAGTTTATCTGTTTGCTGTCCGTCTGCTCCAACTAGATTGTCAGCCACCTGAGGCTTTGTCTTTCTGGTTCACTACTTTATCCCTAGTGCCTAGAGCAGTGCCTGGACATGGTACTTGCTCAATAAATGTTTGCTGAATGAAGTGGTTGGTTCATAAATAACCTATATAGTATGACAGATTTTTACTTTTATATTTTCCCTTAAAACATGTTCATTAATTTAAATATTATTTAAAACCATAGTTTCTAAATCTGGCTGTGTATCAAAATGACTTGGGAGCTTTATAAACTATAGATTCTCCTCACCTGAGTAAATTCTATTTTTTTTTTTTTTTAGGATTTTATTTATTTAGAGAGTGAGAGAGCACGAGAGGGGGGAGGGTCAGAGGGAGAAGCAGATTCCCCGCTGAGTGGGGAGCCCGATGTGGGACTCGACCCCAGCACTCCGGGATCATGACCTGAGCCGAAGGCAGTCGCCTAACCAGCTGAGCCACCCAGGCGCCCAGAGTAAATTCTATTTTAATAATGCATTACTAGCAATCGGGGATAGAGTTGGTGATGGAGGGTGAGAGGCTCAATCCTGAGTCTACAGCAGTATTTTTTTTATCTGTGTCCACAAACAAAAAGCCTGCACGCTAAGTTGGCCCGTGCTATGTCTGAAGAGATACTTGGGTTAGGAGGTGTGGAGGGCTGGCTCTCATCCTAGAACATGCAGTGTAGCCTCCTAACACTAATACTCAATTGAGACAGTGAAAAGGAAATTCAGTTGGGAAAAAAGGTATACTTGAAAAGGTAGAAAAAACACTAGTTGAAATTGATGAATTCCCAGAATTAGGTATTTGATTCAGTGGACAGTCTTTGAATCGTTAGGTAACTCTTAGCATGGTCAAATAGAACAGTTTTGGAAGAGCTCTATAAAGGGAGGAAGAAGAGAAAGCATTTGGAGAGGAGGACATATTAGGGGTCCCAAGAGCGTTATCCAAGTGAATGCTATGGCTGTGCAAATGGAAAGAAGCTGTAGTTTCTGAACAAATTAATTAAAATCATGTCACAGATGGTCCCAGGGGAAGGATGGGGGTACCGGCTTCCTCATCTAGATGCCATGAAGTTCTGTTGGTGTAGGTCAGGGGTTGACGAGCATTTTCTTTTGTATGTGGACACATAGTAAATATCTTCGGCTTCGTGGACTGCACGGTTTCTGTTGCAACTACTCAACTGTGCCGTAATTGTGTGAAAGCAGCAGACGAACATGGCTTATGTTCCCATAAAACTTTCTTTACAAAAAATACGCAGACCAGATTTGGCCTGTGGGTCATAGTTTGCTAACCCCTTCTATAAGTTAACAAGACCCACCTTTTCATGATTTGAAAAAGTATTAAAATTTTTAGAAACCACTTAAAAAAACCAACAACCCACTTTTGATTAAATTAAGGGAATACACATTAAGGACATTGAGAATAAAAGTTTTAAATTAAACATTGATATACTTGATTTAACTCTTGTGATTTGTCACTCCCTTAAGGTATAATGATTTAAGATGTATCTTAATATCTGAATCTTGTTTTTCTCTATTGGTTGTTCAGTTGCTTTTGTTGGGTGAAGAGGTTGATATCAGTCTGATGTGTACATTCGCAGATGACCCCACATATGTGTAAACTTACATGCACCCACACATTCTTTATACATGTGTACATATATATCTCAACGTGTATGTTTATGGTAGGTTTAATATTTGTAAAGCTTATATGTAATCAGATCAGTTTTGCAAATGAGCTTAAGAACAACTCAAAGAAATTAAAAATATATAAGAAACTAGTGAATTGTAAAACTTCTCTTTGAACTTTAAAAGCCACACTCCATAATTTGAATCTTTCTTTTTTTAATGAAAATTTTTTAAAATTACCGTTTTTAAGTCTCAAATCAATCCATGTCCTTGGACAGTTTCTGTTCATCTGTAAATTACCTGTTTTCTGTGCCTTAACTTGTAGAGTATCTCTATAATGTTAGGGCTAAAAATACAGCCAATATTCTTCAATTCATGTTTCTATTGTCTATAAGCTAGATATAATTCATTTAGTAGTGATATGTTGTAATTATATTTGTGTTCTTCCTACTTCCTTACAAAAAGTACCAGGTAGTTCTTGGAAGGTATGGCTCAGGATGCTATTGTCCTCTTACAGTTACAGATAATCTCATTTGTGATCACTGAATGCTCAATGAATACTGTTGGCTGAAAGGAAAATATATTAGTAATGAAAAAAAAAGACCGTATTTTAATGACCATATTTGGCCACTGTTTTCAGTCTGGTGCCTGCATACTATGATTTAATCTCGTGACACAAAAAGGTAAGAAGCATACAAATAAAGGAGTACATCTGTGTCAACATAGATAGTGCTTTAGTTTCCATGTATTATGATCATCCATTTGTGAAGCATGATCATTATAATTTTTCTGTAGGTATGAAAGCATGTATTTCCCTTTTCTATCCAGAATGTAAGCCTTAATAATGAAGACCATTTTATCTTTTGTATCCCTCGGAGATCTCTATTAAAATGCCCAAATAGTAGAGATCTAGTAAAGACTCATTTGGATTTCAACACAGAAAATGGTTATTTATGGGTGTCTGGGGGGCTCAATTGGTTAAGCGTCCAATTCTTGGTTCCAGCTCAGGTCGTGATCTCAGGGTCGTGGGATCAAGCCCCGCATGGGGTTCTGTGCTCAGCAGGGAGTCTGCTTCACATTCTTTCTCCCTCTCCCTCCCTCTTCACCCCTCCCTGCTTGTGCTCGCTCTCTGTCTCTCTCAAATAAATAAATAAAATCTTAAAAAAAGAAAATGGTTATTTAATTTATATGTCTTAACAAGTTCCTGAAGTTGTGCCTGCTGTATACGGGCTTAAGAGGGGAAAAGCACTTCTGTATGAACAGCGATAAAAATAAACCGTAATGTGTATTGGTTTAAACTAGAGCATTGTGTAACTCTGTGATCAAATTTGAATCGCGAAGTTATTGAGCCATTTATTTCATAAGTCCAAAGTAGAGAATAGCAGGAAAATCTCTTTTTAGTACAATATACGCTAAAAAGAAATGTTTCTAAGCATGTGTTTGGGTAGGTGTATGCACAGGGAAGAAATCCTATCAAATAGTGGAACAGATTATGATTCTGTTTAGGTCTTTTTGATCCTGGGTGGTTAAAACTTAAGAATAATGAATGCTTCTAAGAAGGTCAGGGGTGTTCTGTTACTTAAGAGAGCACGGAGTATCCAGAGGAAAGGGAGGAGTTGTTTTTTCCTCTCACAAGTATGAGTTATCCCGGGTCAAGTACAGTCACAAGTGTGCTAACCTCTCTACCGTTTAAGTTGGAGATTACTTGAAAAGCGTAGCCTTTCTCTGACCTTTTGGTAGTTACGTTTGTGTTACAGTGTTACATTTCAGACAACTGGTGACCTGTGGGTGGTTTTTATGAATTGTTTCTTGTTCAGATGAGCGATCTCCAGCTGCTCAGTATGTAGACCTGTTGCTGAACCCAGAGCGTTACACTGGCTATAAAGGGTCCTCCGCATGGAGAGTGTGGAACAGCATCTACGAAGAAAACTGTTTCAAGTAACTGGAGGGGGCAGGGGAAGGAGGAGGAGCGGCTAGAGGGAGGATGGAGGAAGGGGAGTAGGGTTCTGTTGGGGAAAAAAAAAATGATGTAAAAGAAGTCAAATCATTTTATGTTTGAATTTTGCACTTGCTTTTTCAGGCCTCGATCTGTTTATCGTCCTTTAAATCCTCTGGCACCTAGCCGAGGTGGGTTTTTCATACATTTTCATGCCTTTAGAGATTATTTACAAAATGCCTCTGTAACTAAACTTAATCTGAGTAAATTTTCAACTATATTTTCTTTAATTTGAGTGATCAAAAGTATAAGGTTAATTCATAGTTCAGCCTCAAGTTTTCTGTATGTTTTACATAATTACTGGCTTTTATTGAGTGCCTGGTATGTACCAGGCCCTAAATAAAACAGGAGTTTTATGGGAAATAAATCAAAATATATGAGTAATCCATAGATATAAGAGGTTTCCTGGGGAACTCTTAAAAATCTGGATGCCCAGGCCCTATCCCATACTAATTAAGTCAGAATCTGTGGGCTTACACCCAAGTGTTGTTTTTTTTTTTTAACTGTCCAGATGATTCCAGCACACAGGCATGTTTGAGAACCAGTGGCTCCCAACGTGCTTCTCAGAGTTGAGTGTGCATACAAACTACCTCGGAGCCTTGTTGAAATAGAGGTTCCGATTCTGTGGGTCTTGGGTGAAGCCCAGGATTCTAACGAGCTCCCAGGTGATGCCCAGCATGCTGGCTGGTCCACGCACCACGTTTGAGTGCTAAGGGTGCAGAGCTGTTGAAGACACTTAGGATGCCTGCAGCACAACAGTAAACCTGCGCCGGCCTACTAGGTTGCCACTTGTCACACTGGGCTGTGGAGCACATGAAATACGGCTGATGCAGAACCAACTTTTACATCTGGCTGTTTGTTTAAATTTAAGAACTGAAGCAATGTAAAATATTTTGTCATTAAGCAGAACTTTACTGTTTGATAGGACACCTTTAGCTGTGGCCTCACACAATTATCGCATTGAAGCGCATGTGTGCTTCTCACTTTTAAAACACGGATGCTAGAAAAAACTTCACTAGAAATTTTTATTAGAAAAAATTTGGAATTACATATGTGGCTGGCATTATATTTCTATGGGACAGCATTTTTGGAGGTTAATCAACATAAAACTTACTGGGCACATCCTCAGTCTGTTGTCAGCAAGGAGCCAAACCCTGGGAGCAGCCCTGTAATTGACTTGCCATTCTGATGTTTTCTTTAGACCAGGGTTGATTTAAGAACTTGAATTTCCTGGTCTAGATTTGTATCTTGAAGGCATTTCTGAGAGCCAAAGAGACACAGAAAGGTTGACCGAAGGGACTGCTTTTAGATGCTCACTGTCTTACAATGCGGCACATTTTCTTCCCCAAATTCATTCTGATACTGCTGGAAAAGGGAATTGGATCATGAAAAAGGTGTGCATGGTTTCTTATTCTTTGTCTCTTTTGCTATTTTTACCCTTCTAACTTACTATAAAAATGAAAACCCCAGACACACACACACACACACACACACACACACACACACACACACACACACA